GCAAAATCCAAAAGGGTTTGTTGGGATCAGACTGCTGGAAAAGAAGTACACAGAGCAGAAGCAGACAGGCGTAAGTGGCTCTGTTTCCACTGACTTTCACATTCAGAATCTCTCCCAGAGAATTAATGTGATAAAATTTTATTGACAAATATAGGCATGACCCTAATGAAGTGTGTATTGGCAAATGCTGTGCACTGATTTTCTTTTTTTTTGGACAAATGCATGTCTTAACTAATAGTAGCAGTCAAAACTGTCTTATAACAGAAAAAGGATGAAGTTGAATCAGTGGACTAGGACTTAACGCCAATGAGCAAAAAAAATTCATGAAATCAAAGCATGTTCAAACCATGAACTCTGTGGAGGGATTCATATATTAGATGCAATTTAATGGAAAGAAGATTGGTGACCAGCAGTTAACCAGCAGCAAGATGGATGGGCTGAAGTTACAGTGGTGACAAGTCCACTGTTGGAACATGTGAAGGTTGAAGATCTTTCTGTATCATCTTGGAGAATCAATACCAACTTGCCACCCATCTCACCAAACGTGACGCTCATCAATGTTCAGTTTAAAATATCTAAAACATGCAATCTGAATTTTAAAAACATATTTGTCAGGTTTTTTTATATGGATCATCAATGTACTTAACAAAATGGGTACAGGTAGTCCTCACTTAACAATCCTAATTAGGACTGGCAAGTCTATTGCTAAATGAAGCACTTATTTAAGCAAAACATCACGTGACTGTCATACTTAACAAGAGCAGTCCCAGTTACAGTTGTTAAAAGGAACACCGGTGGTCCTTAAGCAAATCATCATGTGATCATAACTTGAGACCTCCTGCTGGTTTCCTCATTGACTTTGCTTTTTGGAAGCTGGTTAGGAAGGTTGCAAATAGTAACCATGTGACTGCAGGATGCTACAACTATCATAAATATATGACAACTGTCAAGCACCAGAATCTTGATCACTTGACAATGGGAACACCATGGTGGTGGTATGTGCAAGATCAAACGTAAGTCACTTTTTTTCAGCACTGTCATAACTTCAAACAGTTGCTAAATGAATGGTTGTTAAATGAAGATTACCTGTAATATCTTTCCTCCAAGTCCCATGCATGGGCAATTGTTGCTAGAATAATGTAGTTAGTATTACAATTTCATTGTTATATCCAACTTAAAAATGTAATGATAATATTATCAAACCAGGTACCATTCTGGATTTCAAGATAGATATCTCAAGATAGCAAGACACCAGGGCTCAACTATGACAATTTTAGGCAGTGTACTAATATTGGGGGTTGGGTATGGGTGGGGTAAAAAACAAAGAAGAAAAAATTCTGTTTTCCCCTCTAACTGTAATATGGGAAAGACAGGAGTAGGCCAAGAAGCAAACCCTGAGAAGTCTACACTGTTACTTTGGACATTTACAATTTACGGTAATTTATCCTTACCTGTGATTCTGGTCTAGCAGCAGATACTGGTTTCTCTTTAGGTGCTTTTTCGGCTTTGTCAGTTGTTTTTTCCTTTGTTTTTCTAGTGGTTTTGGAAGAACCTGCCGACTTTTGACTTTCCAAATTGCTATGGATGTCTGGACTTAAGATAGATATATTCTCTTCATGTCTCTCAACAGGACGAGCTGCATATAATTTTATTCAAATGACAATATTAAGCATTCATCATTTGAAACTTTTGTGCTTGGATATCTTTTTTCAGATCCGTATACCAAAAGTATACAGAGGTATAATCAGTGATTTTTTTTTATTTTTTTTTTAAAAAGGTGCCGGAACTCACACACATCATACAACCCGCCTTGCCTACCCTACAAAGTTCCATCCAAAAAAGGTGCCGGAACTCCGTTCTGGGCATTCTATGAGAAAAAAAGCCCTGGGTATAATTAACATGAAGTGAATGTTCTTTTCATGCAGTGTGACTTCCTGTCCCCTTTCCATTCCCTTTCCACCCAATTTTCCAGAGCAGACAGGGGAGATGTATAGACTGGCAGAGGGAGAGGGAGCTGAAGCAGAAGCAACTTTCCGATAGACAGATAACTTTGGAATACAGTCATTCCCACATACCACTACAAAGCATTTTTATTCTCTTTTAAGCACAACCATTTTTTTGTGCAGTGTTTGGTTTATTCTACGCAACATATCTTTTTCTCTATGCTTTGTAGAAAATATTTATCTTCTTTTTTTAGCAATTGTTTTCTTGTTTGCATTTCCCCACAGTCGGAAATGGTTTCCTTATGCCTTGTTTTCTTTGCCTTTTGCTGGCATTGTAAAGGCAATATTTTAAACTAAAATGGTGTCTTCTCCTCAGCATTCATTTCCTAGCATAAATACATACGTTTTCTACTGGAATTAAACCAGGAGACAACTTCTAAAATTTATACTTTTCCTCCATTAATTTAAAAATGTCAAAAATGATCTAAATGCTGTGCTCTAGCTACTTAAACTAGAGAATAATAATTTACTGCAGATGGCACTGTTGCCTTATATTATGAAATAAGAAATGTTAAGATTTGAAGCAGACATTTTCTATTAATGCACAATGTTCTGGAAATTACCAGTAAAGTACATTTGGGTAGACATAACAGAATCTGTCAGTTTTAGTTTCAATCACATTCTAGTTTTCCTGACAGTTTTCCTGTTCTATATTATTTTAAATATTTTGCAACAAAATTAAACTGTATCCATGAAAAGACATATGCACATTGATTTCAATACATTTATTCCCAACTGTGCATACTTTCCCAAATTATCTGGCTTCATTATAATGTGTGTTTGTGTACATTTAACTTAATTTTCCTTAGTTTACCTGCTTATAACATGTACATGTTAAAGTTGCATGACTTGGTCGTCGTCTTCTAAACTTATTCGCTCTTTCTTCATATATTCACTTTGCGATTCATTCCGTCTTAGAAACCACTTCAATGTATTTCCTTTATATTGATCACTCACATCTGTATTCAATCCATATTCATTCAGCATTCATTCATTTCCCATCTTTTTCTTTTCATCACACACATTTAGATATCCCATTCTCATTGCACTAAATTTTTTTATTTTTATATTTTCGTATGATTTTGTTTAGGACTTGTGCTTTTACTTCTTTCCTTTTCTTCCATGTCCATTTTCCTTGCACTCTTAATACTATCATAAGCTTACCCATAATATTTACAAAATGTGGTCATTCTGAGAATGGATGCTTTAACTGCTAGACACTTTAAATGAGCTGACACTCCCTCATTTAAGAGGTAAAAGAGGTGGGGCAATATTTCTTTAGGAGTTCCATTTATTTATTTATTTATTTATTAAATTTATATACCGCCCTATCTCCCTTACGGGACTCAGGGCGGTGAACAGGCGATACTAAAAACCACAATAATAAATAAATAGTTTCTGTGCTAAAATCAAATTAAATAACTTTGGAGCGTTTGATTTTTATTATGACTGGATGATAGGATATCATTCATTGTTATTTAAAGTGGTTTATTCGTTTCACTGTTTTTATTCATTGTTAGCTGTGTTTTTAATTGCTCTTATGTAAACTACCAAGAGTCACAGTGGAAAGTGGTGATATATTGGAAATAAATGGATTAATACAGCATATTAAGAATTAATTTTAACCGCTATGACACTTTTCATCAATAAATACCTAACACAGTGACTTACCTTTGATTTCATTTTTTTCTAATTCTTTTAGTGCCTGAACAAATACAATTTGACTTTCAGTAAGTGGCCAACTATTATATAACACTGAAGCTTGTATAATATATTTGTGGGTCTGTAAAATTGAAAAACAATATATTACAATTTCATATATAAAGTTATTGGTTTAAGTCAATAACCTTGACTGCTATTTTAAACCATTGTAGCTTGAGATAATGGAAAGAAAGAAGAGCTAAAATAGGATGTTTGATGAATTTGACCATGGCAGTTATATAAAAACAACATATCTGATCTTTCAGCTTAATATGTCAGTGGCAACTTCTATCTTCATTTGAATTTCATTTAAATTTGCTATTCTTTAAGGTTAATACTATTTTTGGTAGTCCAACTGTATATCATCATAGTCCACTGTAAAACCTCTAAGCTATAATATAAGCTATGAAAAATCTAGGCTATAACATAAAAATAAACCAAAAAAAATCCATGGTAATTGAACTATAAAGCCTTAGTAAAAAGCCAAAATCCATAATATTAAATCTCATAAAATTGTTAATTTAATAACCATACTAGAATCACACAAATCAATAGCTTAATTATACAGAACATGGCATTTTGTTAAAGTTCAATCTTTATTGCTTGTCAAGTTAAACATTTTGATAACACCCATAATTTAATATACATTGATACATTTGAATAATTTCAGAAAATAAACCTTTTTTTGCAGATCATGTAGAAATGAAATCAAATGACATTACTAAAATAACCCAAAAGATTTAGCCATTCCTTGGGAAAAGAGAAAGAGCTTGGAGGGATCAAAACGGAGAAATAGTCGTAAAACTGTATGCAAAATTCACGTGTGGAAATCAGGCTTGTTTTCTTTGTTGCAAGATTTTGCCATGCTTGTGAGAAAATCTCATGACACCAAGTTTTACCAAATCCTGAATCATCTTGGTGAAACACATAGGACAAACTCGGGGTAGGATGCTTATTCCACTAGGAAAGAATTTAAGGTTCTAAATATTAATTCATATCCCTCACCTGTTGAAGCAAATTTTCATCAATGGTAGGAAGAGCAGGAATATCTTCTTCTGTTGAAGCTGAGCCTTCCTGTGATGCCTTGGACGAAGACTTAACGGTCTTCTGAGTTGTTACTGTACCTTTCTTCTTTGGGGCTACAACTTCAGCTTCTTTTTTGGGTGTGCTTTGCACTACACCACCTTTACTTGATGTTGCTGAGAAAGGAAGAATAACTTTAAAGGGATTCAAACGAGTATCATTTTTGGAATAATATTGTATCATATATATTGTAGAAACATCCTTTTTTTTACCGATCTATTGATTGATTCCTTTTATCATTTGCAACTACACCTGCCTCACATACTTTCCAAAAAAGACTTATTACAAGGTGGCAAAGCATTCATGAAGCATAGAAAAAAATATTTTTGAAAGTTAAAATTCATTCACTGTGAAAATATTTTAAAATCTTAACTTGGAATTAGGCAACACACACACCAAAACGTATGACGTGTAAAGATTCTATCAGTAGAAATAATTAGTTGTTTCTGATGGCATCTAGATTTTAGATACCAAGATAAAAACAAATAATACTAAAATATGTAGACTATAGCGATAACTCCATCTATATCCCAATTAAAAGATATAATAAAAAATCAAGGCATGTCTTCCTTAGTAGACAATATCTAATAGGCAACAAACAACAACAGGAACAATCAAGGAAGAAACAATACTCAAATCAAGGAACCATCAAGAAAAACCTCCAACCAATATTGGCGGGACAAGCTCCTATACCAGTGATGGCGAACCTTTTAGAGACCGAGTGCCCAAACTGCAATCCAAAACCCATTTATGCATCGTCGGGTGCTGGGTGGGTGTGGCCCATTGGCCTGGTGTGGCCAATTGGGTGGGTGTGGCCCATTGGGTGGGCATGGTTGCGGTGCTAACAGCAGACTGGGTGGGACTAAAAAGTTCAATCAATCCCAACTTTGCAAGATTTTTTTTTCCCCGCGAGAAATTGAAATTGACTGATTGATTGAACCTTTTTTTTTTTTTGCACACAGCGGCGGAGGCCTAAAGCGAAAAGGTTTTATAAAACCCAGATGAAGGCCTAGGACTGGGGCGATGGCGCGCGTGCCCACAGAGAGTGCTCTGAGTGCCGCCTCTGGCACCTGTGCCATAGGTTTGCCACCACTGTCCTATATACAAACAAGCAGCAAATTCCACTTCTTCAGATTACCTATTCTGGTAATGAAACATCTGCAGAAAAACAACCAAACTCAGAGAACACCAAGTACCCTTAATTAAGACGAATATTGCTGACAATAACTCCATATAGTAAATTCCAGAAGAAATAGATTTTTACCAGTTTCCAGAAGACCATGAAAATGATGTTCATTCTCACCTCAGCTGGAGGCTGTTTCCTAAGAGAGAAGCCCTCACAGAGAACAGATCCTTTGGCTGCACATCCTGGTAGTTGGAGATCCTTAGCAGATGCTCTTAGCCATCTTAATGAGGGAGAATTAACTTCTTAAATACTCAGGCTCTGAACCATATAAGGTTTTTAAGAAAGCAATTGAATTCTTCAGTGTATTCAGCAACATACTAGTAACCATGCAAACTCCTGCAGCAATGATATAATAATGTAGCACCACCACTGAATAGTGAGCACATGAACTGTTGCATTTTGGATCACCAGAAGTTTCTGACTGGTACTCAAAAGCATTCCTGAATACAGTTATATAACTGGGAGATGGTAAGGGCACAAGCAATTCTTCTCAATACATCATGTTTCAGCTAAGGCTGCAACTGGTGAACCAGCTGAAGATTAAAGCTCACATGGCCATGACTTCCATCTGCTTTTCTGATAGAAGTTCTGAGTCCATGACGTATTTATTTAATTAGATTGCAAGCCTTTTCTCTCTGGGAATGAACAATTCAATCAAGAGGTAAAGTTAGTCCTGGCTTTTAAATTAACAGCAGTCTTGTTTTGGTTGAATTTTGCTTTTGTTTCTCCCCACCCAGGCAATGAGTTAGAATTTCTATCACATCTCAAATTGGGCCCAGGGTGGGTGGAGTTACCCAGCATATTGATGATACCTCATCCTGAATCAGCTGAAATCTTCTCAGAGTGGTTTCATGTAGAGGCTAAACACAATAGAAGAACTGGACACTGAGGCAACCCTATAACAGAGAGCCCAAAGGCTTGACCTCTCCTTGTCCCTAATATCACTAATGAGAACTGCCTGCCTGAACAATAAACTCCCAAACCAGTAGTCCAGAAGGATACCATGATCATCAGTACTGAAGATTACAGGAGGTTTATGTAATGTGAGAATGACCTTGGGAAGACAGGAGAAAGAGCTGCAGTCTAGACAATAGTCTGATAAACAAAGTTTGAGTCCAAAGAAAAAAGGGTGGCAAAAGCATCTGGCATCACCATAGCACACAAACCAACTAAAGTCCTCCAAAACATCCTAAGTAAATCAAAAGATCTGCAGCCCCAGAAGAATAAACAGGAGACATCTACAACATACAGTATAAGGACTATAATAGATACTATGTAGGACAAACATGAAGAAGACTAGCAGAGCACATCCACAAACACCAACCAGCAATCAGAAGACATGAAAACTCTTTTATTTCCAACACATGGACAGACTTCATCATAATTTCAACTCGAAAACTGTGGGAAACTGTGAGCAAAGACTAAAAACACTAGAGAATTCCTGGCACTCAGACAGATCAGCCATCAACAGACATACAAAGATAAAAAACATCTACATACCATTCAACAGAGACAATCAAAAAGCCAAAAAGGAAATGAAAAAGTCAAAACATCTTGCCAGTAACCAACACCCAGCTAATCAGGGTTATACTAGACTAACAGTGAACTAAACAATACTAGACCCACAACAAGTTAACAAGTGCCATCACACATAAAGAATGGCCTCTGATAATGATCTTGATAAAGTAAATGACTTATATAAAGACAAGCATTCCCAAACAAGGGATTCCCTTCCCAAGGGAAATACATTTTCAATGATTCACTTCTTTAAAGGGTTGTGATTCACTGGTCTTTATTTATACTTCAAAACTAATTATTCTACTGGAACAAACAAAGGCAAGTAAAACAAGTTTCTTTGAAGAGATGCTTGAAAAAATGTGCTGCTTCAATAAATAAATAAATAAATAAATAAATAAATAAATAAATGAATGAATGAATGAATGAATGAATGAATGAATGAATGAATAAATAAATAAATAAATAAATATATTTATTGTGAATCCAAACCTCAAAGGTGAGGATGTGTCACACAAATTCATTTATAATTTTAGAGAGTTGCAATACTGCAATATTTGAGAAACCCTGGATTACTGGATTATAGTCATGGAGTTTCCCTTTTTCTACCACTCTTCAATTTTTAATGCTTGATGACACAATATTATGGATTGGATTCTGTGAAAAGATTGATTAATGGGAGTTGTTAGGATGCTCCAGCTAACTGAAAGGGGAAGAATATAGTTTTAGCTGTT